CCTCGCCTCGCCTCCGCTCGCACAATTCCCACACACCTCATTGAACAATTGTGTTCTCGCCCGCGCCCAGAAATATCGTAGGTGCAAGGATCAAGATTAGAAGGCGAAGCGCAGCGAGCCTTAAAATCTTGTGTGTATATATATATATATATGTGTGTGCGTGGATGTATACATATATACATACATACGTAAACATATGCATATACAACGACGATTTCGACGACGACGATTCCGTCGACAACGACGACAACGACGGCGACGACGCTGACGACGACGACGACGACGACGACGACGACGACGAAGACCACCACGACGACGACGACGACGACGATTCCGTCGACAACGACGATAACGACGGCGACAACGGTGACGACGACGACGACGACGACGACAACGACGACGACCACGACGACGACGACGACGACGACGGCGACGACGACGACGACGACGACGACGATGACGACGACGAGGACGACGGCTGCGTCCTCCGCAGGCACGCCGGCCGCGCGGGACGACGCATCAGCCAGGCCCCGCCCGCGCGCCCGCGACGCCCCCCGGCCGCCGGGCCTTTCTCGCGGCTCCCACCGCCGCCTCCGTTGGGGCTTCGGAGCGGCCGCCAGCATCTTTCGAAGAGCCACGACGACAGCAATCCTCATCTTCACCATCATCAGCAGCATCATCATCAGCGTCACCATCACCATCACCATCACCATCAGAAGCAGCATCAACACCACCGTTGTCGTCATCATCATCAGCAACAGCAGCATCTTCATCGTCATCGTCATCGTCATCATTAGCCAACACCACCAGTCACCTGCCATCAACCACTACCAATCACTACCAAGCAATATCAATCACCATCATCATCGTCAACATCAGCATCAGCATCATCAGCATCATCAGCATCATCGTCATCGTCATCGTCATCGGCATCATCACCGTCATCACCATCGAACCACGACGGCGACGATTGGCGACAGCAAGGGCCACGGCGACGACAGCGGCGAAGAGGAGCAACGAGGGAGGAGAGAGGGTTTATTTTTGCTGTGCTTGCCTTTAGTTGGTTATGTATTGTCTCTTTCTTTTTTTTCCTTCCGAATCCGCGTGTGGGAGGACATGCCCGACCTAAAGATCGGCGGCGTTCCGATGCAGTGGAGGGCGGAGCCCGCCGATGAAATCCTACAGTCAGGACGCTGAAATAAGGAACATTTTGGGTTCGGAAGGGGCTCGATGTTCCTTAGGTTCCTCCAGTGCTGTTCCTCTTGCCCTCCTGGGGCACGGAGGCGCTTACAGGGCCAAAGAAGGGGCTTCCTTCCGTATTTAGCGTTACTTCTTTCAGCGGCCCGACTCTACAATCAACCCGCATGGTAAGGATAGGCAGCGTCCCAACCCTTGCATCCTTCACCTTCGGCCCCATCCTCGGCCGCTCCGGCTGACCGCGGCCCGCCCTCGGAATGTCGACATGGCCTTCCAGGGCCCCTGCATCCGTGTCGTGGGCCCTTGTTATACGGGTTGACTGTATGTGGTCCCCGAAGGAATCCCGCAGCAAATCTTGAGGACTCTTTGGGGATTCCTCGGGATCGTCTGGGACATCTCATGGGAATCCGAAAGCTTTCTTTTGAAGTCCCGAAGAAACCCGCCGAACTGCTGAGGCCTTCAGGGTTCCCGGGTGAATCCGCACGATTCCATTGGATCTCCGAAGGATTATGCGGGCCCCTCTGCGGTCCCTGAAGATGCCCTGAGGATTCTTGAGGGCGGAGTCCTGAGGAAATCTGTAGAAAGTCTTACGAAAATCATGGGATCCCTTCAGACACCCTTGGGAAAAGTATCCGGACACCGTGAGGATGCCATGGGACACCGCCTCGAAGTTCTTGGCGTGATTGACACGTCATCTCGGAATCTGCAGGAGTGTTAAAGATTGTCAGGGAAATTCGTCGTCATCGGCATCCTGATCAAAACTGCCATCATTAATCATCATCATTATCAGCAGCAGCATCATCATCAGCATCGTCAACATCAGCATCATCATCCTCATCTTCATCATCATCGCCATCGTCATCATCATCATCATCATCATCATCATCAGCAGCAGCATCAGCATCAGCATCAGTAACATCATCATCAGCAGCATCGTCATCGTCATCGTCATCGTCATCATCATCATCATCATCATCATCATCATCATCATCATCATCATCATCATCATCGTCATCGTCATCATCATCATCATCATCATCATCATCATCATCATCATCATCATCATCATCATCATCATCATCATCATCCGCAGCCGTCCCGGCTCGAGCTTGTCTGCTCGGCTCCGCCTCGCCAGCTTCGGACCGGCCAGCCACCTGCTCCGCAGGCGCAGGCCCCCGCAGAGAATGGCCGCCCGCCGCAGCAGCTCGCGCACCCTGGCCTGCCTCGTGCTCGCCGCCGCCGCTGCGGTGGCCGCCTGGACGGGCTCCTCGGCCTTCGTGCCCCCGGAGGCCCGCCGCGCCGCCGCCGGCGCCGCCGTGGTCGCCGCGCTCCTGGCCCAGCAGGTGCAGCCGGCCCTCGCCAAGGACGTGCTGCTGTCCGCGACCGCGGACCCGAGCGAGCAGATCGCGGCGCCGATGATCGACAACTCGAACCTGGTGAGCCGGCACGATCGACATGGGTAGGGTAGTGGTGAAGGCGGACAGCAGTGCCTGCCCACGCTGAGCAGGGCTCGCTGTCGGCGTCGCCGCGGACGGTGGGTGCTCCCGTGAGACAGGAGGCCGCCTTCCCAACAGCGAACGCTGTTGGTTTTTCACAACATTCGCTGTTGGACATCGTACCCGTTTTTCCCATAGCCAGTTCGGGCGTCCAAAGGTGAAGGGCGTGCCGTTCGCGGGGGAGAACGCCCCGCGGTACGCGCCCCAGACCACACAGTCCGAGGACGACCTGCTTTTCAGGGGCAACAACGGCATCAACGTGCTGGAGTACGTGCGGGCGAAGAACGGCTGGGTGGGCCAGATGCAGTTCGACTCTCCAGCGGAAGAGGAATCCGCGAACAAGCTCCTGGAGAAGCTGCGCTGAGCAGGCTGGGCGTCCCCGCAGGCGGCAACGGGTATGTGGAGCTTCATCTGCTCCCTGGCCCGCCGCCCTCGGTTCGCAGGACTCTGGCGCATGTGACGCGTGTCTTCCGCGCGCGTGACCCGTGTTTTTTCAACGCCCTGCGCAAGTGGATCATCATCATCATCAACAGCATCAACAACAGCATCATCAAGAACAACAACAACAACAACAACAACAACAACAACAACAACAACAACAACAACAACAACAATGACAACAACAAGAAAAATCAACCAATTCAATATTGTTTGCTCTTATACGCGTGCGTGTCAATCAACATGTGTTTCCCAAACACTGGATACCCGCCCTCTTCGTCCTCGATCGTGCCCCTTAGGGGGGTGACTTTCATCCCTGCCACTTGTAAATGGCGCAGACTTGAACGGAAGGGGGCCACTGAGGGCTGCAAAGGGGCCAGGACGGGCAGCGAGAGGGCCACGAAGTATTAAATCGGGCCCACGAAGGTCAGAGAGGGGGCCACGAAAGGCATCGAGGAGGCCACGAAGGTAGCGACGGGGCCTTCAAATCCGATTTGAATCGAGAGGCGCAGCGAGGAGCATCAGAACGGGCGAAAAGCAGCGAGGAGCGACTGCGGGCCGCGGCGCTCTCTCCTGCGCTCCATCGGCATGGGAGGCACTGATTCCCCCCTGCTCTGGCGCATGGCTTACGACCCAGTAATTGAGGCCACGGCTGCTGCTGCAGCAGGCAGATGCCCCACGTACGTCGACGACCGTGCCGCCCTGCTTGACTCCGCGCAGCACGCCCTTCGTGCATCAGCCATGCTCTCCTGGACCTCCTACGCTGCCTGCCAGGCTGCTAGTTGCCTCGCACTCGTGCCGGGGGCTCTCCTTTGCAGTCCGCCCGGATGGCCTGGACGGCACCATCGCAGCTACGCCGCTGGATATGGCCACTACGACCAATGGTCACGCGCGCACCACCAGACGTACCACCTGACCTGACCTTGGCCATCCTGGCGCACGACCTGGGGGGGGCACGACGTCGCGGGAAGGGCCTGGCGCTGGCAGGGCGAGTGCCCGTGCTCGTGTGAGACGGCCCCGGTCCCTGGTGCGGCTGGGTGTACTTTCCTTTGGCGGTCGGGGCCTCACGGTCTATTACGAGGGCGAACAGGGCATGCTGGAGCCAGTTAGGCAGCCCCCAGCGCTGCAGGAGGGCGGCCAAGGAGGGCGGGCGGGTTGCTGAAGCGTGAGTCTTGAATCGGGAGAAAGTATCCTGATTTTTGAGTGTCGAGGACGCGGCGTCGATTGCGAGGGAGTACCACGCGAGAGCACAATGCCTGCATAATTTGCGTAGACGTCCCGCGCGAGAGCGCGATGTTAGAACAATGTGTGGGAAGGATCGGGCGGGAGCTGCTGTTTTTGTAAACTGAGGGCCAGGGGCACAGTTTCGTGACACCACACTTCTCCTGATAAACAACCGGATGCGAGCCCTGGGAGGGGCACTTCAATTAAGAAATACAATGGTTACCAGAGGGGGGATCCACAATAATGACTTTTTAGAAATAAGATTTCAACATCAGCACCATCATCATGATTTGAGGGAGTTTCTATGGAGCCAACGGGATTCTGACCCCTGGCGCGCGAGGAAGCGAGGCCACCAACGTCGTTTCTTGCACCGTTTCCTGCGAATCCGTCGGCTGCGCCGTAAGATTTCCAAGCCAGCGCTCTCGCTCGGGACGTTCTCACAAGATCCCCCCCGGCGAGGTCCCAAGAACACCGGTTCCGGCGAATCGAGCCTACGCCCTTCTTCTGTGTACAGGAATCCCCGGGCCACCGCCGAGCGGCCCGCTGTAATCTCCCTCCTCCGCGGCTGTTTTGGCCTGGGCCTTCGCGCTCGCAGGGCCGCCGCGCCGCCTGAACCTGGCGCGGTAGGCCCCCGCCTGCGGCAGGCGGCGCCGCCGGCGGGCCGATGGCGCAACCGGCGGGGGGCGCCGAGGAGGCCGCCGCGCTGGTGAACGAGTTGGGCCCGGCGGAGGTGGCAGTCTTCGTCAGGTTGCCCGTCCACGGCGACGGAGGGGCGGCGACGGCGGCGGCAGCGGCGGCGGCGGCGGTGGCGGCGGCGGCGGCGGCGACGACGACGACGACGATGACGACGATGATGGCAACGACGGCGACAGCGACGGCGACGACGGCCGCGGCCACGGCCACGGCCACGACGAAGACAATGACGATGACGACGGCGGCGACGGCAGCGATGGCGACAACGACGGCGGCAACAGCGAAGGTGGCGACGGTGGCGGCGATGCTGGCGACGGTGACGGCGACGGCGACGGTTGCTGTTGCGGCGACGACGGCGGCGGTGGCGGCGGCGATTGCTGCAGGCTGCTGCAGCCGTCCGTGAAAGGGGCCCTGAGGGATGCGCTAGCGATCCAGCAGGTCGGAAATCGGCAACTCTTGGCGCCACCACCTGCCCTTGCCAAGGCCACCTGGGGCCTTGGACTCGCGTGTAGACCCTTTGGGCTGGGGCCAGGAGGGACTATACACCAGCTGTGGGGGCCAGGACAGGACTTGCCAGGGTTGGCGGCTGCGTACGGCTGCTAGTTTTCAAGCAGGGGCCGCCCGCGAGACCGCCGCCCCAGCACGGCGGCCCCGAGGACGGCGAGCCCTGGGGCGGCAAGGGCGGCGATCGGGCGAGCGCGCACACCAAGGGCGGCAAGCAAGGCGGCAAGCAGGGCGGCAAGCATGGCGGCCCTTCGGGCAAAGGCGGTCCCGGCAGTGCTGGGCGCGGCGGCGCTCCTCAGCAGGCCACGCCAGAGCAGCTGGGGCCGCTCGCGCATCCGGAGTTCCTGCCCGCGGCGGTGTCGGAGACAGGCGAGCAGGTCGCGTTCCAGGGGGGTACCGGCACGCCGTGGCAGCTCGTCGGCCCAGAGGAGGGCTCCTTCCGATGGGACCTGCAGGACTCGAAGAAAAAGAAACGGTGTAAGCATATAAATGTTCGAAGGACCGCGCGGAGTTCCTGGATCTGCGCTGGACCCCTTGGCGCGCGGAGCGCGCCAGGAGATCCAGCGCAGGGCCTCAAGCTCATGCTATGCTCACACCGTTTCCTTCTCATTTGAGGACAGGGACGCGGTGTCCCAGGACGCGAAGCAGGAGGTGAGGGAGCTGCTGGAGCAGTACGCGGACGAGCACGGTATTTTCGTTGGCCGCGGCTCGCCAGTGAAGCTGGCGCTGCGCCGCGGGAGCTTCTGGATCTCCTTGGCGGGCGGCGTATCCAGAGGACCATGGAAATTGCACGAGCGCAAACTTTCGGAGGCCGCGCGGATCTCTTGGGCCGGCGCTGGGCCGCCCTCCTCGCGCGCAATGGCGCCAGGGACGGGGCGCGGGGAGGGGTAGACCTCAGCATCGTCTCAGCGATCCGCATCCCCATTGCGCCATGGCATATCAGCCCTACCAGCCCGCCCAGAGGAGGAGGAGGAGGAGGAGGAGGAGGAGGAGGAGGACGAGAAGGAGGAGGAGGAGGAGGAGGAGAGGGAGGAGGACAAGGAGGAGGAGAAGAAGAATGAGGGGGAGGAGGAGGAGGAGGAGAAGGAGGAGGAGGAGGAGGAGAGGAGGAGGGATAGGAGGAGGAGGAGGGGTAGGAGGAGGAGGAGGAGGAGGTCGGGAGAGGTCCCGCAAAAAAAACAAAACGAAGGAAGCAGCATGTAGCCCCACCCAGGGGGGGCAAGTCGGCCAGCGGAGCCCTGCCCTTGGGGCACCGGGCTTGCCTGCACGCTGCTCCAGGCCCAGCGCGGGCCCGAAGACTCCGCGCGGGCCCCCGAAAGTCCGTGCCCGTGCCGTGCCCTGGCCCTCGAGAATCGTCCCTCGGCAGAGAGGCCACGGGCCGCTGCGCGGCCGACGCGGCGCCCGCGGAGCCCGGCGCCCCGGGCGGCGAGGCGGCGCCCGCCGCGGCGCCGGCGCCGGCGCCGGCGGATTTCAACGGCAGGGCGGCGCTGGTGAGCGAGGGGGGGGTTCGGAGGATCTCGTCGGTGCCTCCGGGTTTTCTTCCCTCGGGACGCGGTCCAGCGGCTGCGCCTCGCCGAGGGCCCTGCGGGGGTGCGCGGATCGCCCTGGACGGCCGCCGGAGAGCCGACCTACGACCCGAGCACCAGCACCACCTTTCGAGGAAGACAAACGGCACAGACACGTAAGCTTTCGGAGGCCCACGCGGACGTCTTGGGCAGGCGCCAGGGAAGGGAGCCCAGCGCCGAACCAAGAAATCCGCGCGGACCTCCAGAGGTTTTTAGCAGGGGGCCGAAAAAATATACACCACCGCCGACTCCCTCACCCCCTCCCTCTCCCAGGACGAAAGTGAGGAGGAGAAGGGTAGAGGAGGGAGGGGGAATGGAGGTGGCGCATCTTCGTCATCTCCTTCTTCCTTCTCTCACGCTACATCTTCATTTCTGTTTCCCCTCCCGCCGGCGCTGCTGGCGGGAGGGGTCCAGGGCCGTATCTGCTCGGGGAGCCACGGGTCCAAAGCTCGAAGCTCGAACAGAAGTAACACTAGCGCACATCATTGGGACTCGCACGTGAGCAACGCCAAAAATCCAGGCCGTCTGCGCCGACGTTGGCGCGTGCTGCCCGCATGAGGTCGCGCGTGCGCGCCCTCGCCTCCCCTGCGGCGTGCCGCGCTCTCGGCCCGCGCAGGCCACGGCGTCAGGTCGCTGCGTCACGTCGCGCAAGACCCCTTTGTCTGATCGTCGCTCGCTCGTGTCTGCGCCGTGCTCTGCTCCTCCAGGTGAGGCAGCTGTACTGCAAGTGAGGAGGCTGCCCGCCGCCTGCCCTGCGGTCCGGCATGTCCCCCCAAGAGGCGGAGCCTAGAAGACAAAGGAAGGACAGACAAAAAAGATCCCACGATGAGTCGAGGAATCGTCCCCTGATCGTGTTTGACCACTTTCGAATATTCCTCCTGGAAGAAAACTGACGAAGCGTCGAAGAAAATCAAGAACAGTCGAAAAGTCGGCCCCTGATAGTTTTTGCGGCCATTTTCGAATACCCCTCCTGTAGAGGGACACGCCCGACTTTACGCCTGCCCCTCGGCGGCAGGGCCGCGGGCAGGCCCCCCGGCTCCCCGACGACGCGGCCCTGCTCGGTGCGGGCACCGCGCCTCGACCTCGGCCCTTCGGGGGCCCGCTGTCTGTGCCCCCGGGCCGTCCCGCGGGGATCCAGGACGGAAGGCTCGGAGGAAAGACTGGTCTACTCTGTAAGAACGGTTTTTTGAAGGCAGATCTGCCTTCAAAAAACCGCTCTTACAGAGTAGACCAGTCTTTCCTCCTTGCAGGTAAAGGCAGATCTGCCTTCAAAAGACCGTTCTTTCGGGGGCCCGCTGTTTGTGCCCCCGGGCCGTCCCGCGGGGATCCAGGACGGAAGGCTCGGTTATTCCTGCGTCGGGCGTGTCCCTCTGCAGGAGGCACATCCGAAGACAGCGAAACATCATCTGGCGACGAGGTTACGTGCTTTGTGGAGAATGTTGGATGATTTGTGGATCATGTTTTCATGTTCTCCCCAAACCCACCTGGGAGAGGACATGCCCGACCTAAGGTGATGCGTGAGAGTGACCTCTTGCGGGAGTGGCCCCTTTGTGCGGGCACTCTGAGGTCCCCAGATGTTCGAGCGCGATGCGGCAGCAGCGGCTTGCGCGCTCCGCTTCGGCCTCCCCGCGGCCCCCGAAAGCAGCGTGGCAGAGGTCCTTCTTGCCTAGGGTCGCTCTTACGTGAAGCCGAGAGACTACCGCCGGGGAAGGGGTCAGGAGAGCTGCGGCCGCGACTCGAGGAGAATAGGGGGGGGGCCTGGCAGTGCGCAGACGTCGCGGCGCCCCGCGCGCCAGGCGGCTGGGCTAGACCCCCCACGCTCAGCGTCAGCGGGCTTCAGGAGCAGGGCGGGACTGGCGAGAGGCGGCGCTGCTGGGAGTGAGGGCAGCGGACGGCCCTCGTCGTCCTCGCGGGGGGCTCCAGAAGCTTGGAGCTGCGGTCCGAGGTGGCCCAGCATTAGCTGGCCCTGGCGAGCAGGAAGGGGAGGCAGGTCGGAGGTGAGGCGCTGGGTTCGACAAGGCTTTTTGCTTCGCCCTCTGGGAGCAGTTCTCTGGCCCCGAGACCGTCAAAAACGGGTCTGGGTGAACATTCGCACCAGACGGACCCGGGCAGGTGTCCGAAGACAAAGTCTTAGCGGTCCCGAGAGGGGCACTTCAGGGCCCCGTTTGGGCACCAGCTGGTGCCCAAAAGGGAAAGGGGCCCTCAAGAGCCCCTTGTAGGAACCTTTCACCCCCCATGTGGGTCACCCCCCATTACCACCCGCCCGATTGGCCTCATCCCCCCACTGCATGATCGATTTTGAGGGGGCCCATCCAGTTCAAACCCCCCGGGCCGCCTCCAAGCAAAAGGGTCCTGGCCTTCGAGGGATCGGCGGGTTGACATCTCGCCCTCGACGGAGGCTAGCGGCGGAGAGGCACACCGACAGCGTCTCCGCCAGCGGAAGCCCGTCGGAAGGCGGTGCAAATTGAAGCAGCCCCCTACAGAGGTGTCAATTCCCGGACATCGGGCGTCTCGAAAAAAATCGAGGCGGAGATTTTTCGTCGTTTTCGGCATCTGGAGGCCCTCGATGGGCCTCGGGACCGTCAAAAAACGGCTCGGGAGGTCCGGAGCCCGCGTCTCGAACAAATCGAGACGACGGATGTTTGGGTTTGTTTGAGGCGCAGACACTCCACAGCGGGCCTTGTTGTCCCACACCTCTGAGGGGCAGGGTGCCGAAAAGATTTGCCATGTCTTCCAGGGGCCGGAGGAGCATCCAAGATCTGCAAGTCGCTGGCAACGCTGGTCGTTCTGTGTACCTCTGGAGGTCCGCTGTGGTAATTTGGAGTGGTGGGGTCCCGTACCCCATCAAGGACGAGACCACCATGCTCATCCTCCCCCTCCCACTACCTCTCCCTCACTTCAAAGGGCCGTCGGTCAACATGGGAGGGTCGCAAGCTTGCTCCCTGACTCTCCTCGTCCCTCCTCTTCCTCCTCCTCCTCCTCCTTCTCCTCCTCCTCCTCCTCCTCCTCTTCCTCCGCCTCTTCATGGTCATCATCATCAGCAGCAGCATCATCATCATGTTCATCTTCAGCTTCATCTTTATCGTCATCACTTTCCTGAAACACTTTGGAATTTCTCAATACCAAACGAATGCCCAAGAAGATCATCATTCTCCTCCCTCAAGCCATCTGGCCTGAGCCAGGTGGGCCCACAGGTGGTCCTGGCCATCTTCGACACAATTCGAGACCGTACTACCTCTCAGGCAGAGCCCCATACCTCATCGTGCTTCTTGCGTGCTTTTCTGTGTTGTTGCCACTGCGTGAAAGGAACAACGAAGTGGGGATACGCCAAGTCTTTCTCAGCCGAGATGACGAGATCCAGGTCCCCATCCTCCAGTACTGTGCCCAGACCTTCGTCGAGGCGCGCGCACTGAAAGGCGCCCGAGTATAACGACAAGTTGGGTGCGAGGAGATGCGCTTGCAGCAACTGTGGGAAGAAGGTGCGTCTGTTCAAGCCGAGGAGCTCATCGGTCAACTTGGGATCCCGATGTGGTGGTCGTCCAGGGCGGCGATGGTCGGCTGCTCAAGCTTGCGAAGAGTCCTCGGCGCAGCTCTTCGCGTGAGAAAGCGGTAGAGCAGACCCCGCAGTTGAGCTCCATTTTCCAGCAGGCCCTGCATGTCGCTGAGGGTGATTGCGGAGTTGTGCAAGGCGCTGCAGGAGCAGACCACCAGGATCCCCGAGCGTGCCACAGCCCTCCCGCCCGAGTCCAGGGCGGAGGTGGTGCGCAAGGCGGACGGGGCCTGGCGAGCTGCCTCACATCGCCACGGTCAGCTTGCGACGCAGCCATTGTGCTTGCGGTGCCAGCTCCCAGCGGCCGAGGCCAAGGAGCACGAGGCCGCGGTCGAGCTGGCGAAGGCCGAGGCGCACAAGCGGACCGCCGCCGCGGCGTTGGCCAAGTCGGAGGGCAACACGGTCTAGCAGGCTGACAGCGAGACGGCGCCAGCTTTCGAGCTGCAGATCAACAGTGACGTTATCAACATGTTCGAGGACTGGGCCGAGCGCAAGGAGAGCAAGAAAGTGTTGCCGCGCGCTTTGAAGAAGGAGCTCGAGAGTTACCAGTCCGCCTTCGCTGCCAAGGACGCGGATCTCAAGGCTTTCGCGGCGCGAGTTGACCAGTTGGAGCTGGAGGCGCAGGCGTGCATGATGAAGAAAGGAAGGACAACGAGGGCGACGCCATCACAGGCATTGGCCTCGCCGCCGCAGCACCAGCTGCATCCACACCAGCAGCCACGGCGGCGCCCCCGTTCAAAGCGGTTCCGACGGCATCGATTTCGGCAGCGAGTGCTACGACGAGCACGCCCACGCCGGTCACTCAGCCACCCGACGAGCAGCTGAAGAGGGAGGCCAAGGAGTTGTCCGCCGCAAAGTTCCAGGCACAGGAGGCAACGGCAGCCTCTAAGGACGGCAAGGCGGGCGCGAAGCAGCACGGGACGACTGGCGGTGGCCCCGAAGCCGCGGGTCAGCCCGTGGGGGGGGGCGAAGATGATCCAGACCTGCGACACGGGGTGGCTGCCCCTGGCCACAGGACAAGTCCAGCGACTCGTCTTACCTCTTCGGGCGCATGCCCCACCGGGCTTGCAGCTGCGAGCCGCTCTTTGCGCGCGTCGCCCGGGGCCGGCGAGGGCCCAGTTACCACGGCGGCGCGCACCCCCACCTCTACGGGGCCAGGGGCCCGCGAGCCATCCTCCACGGGAACAATGGCCACACCGACCACGCCCACCTCGGGGCCCCCGACCGCGCCCACGACGCGCGCCCTGTTCGAATGGCACGCGCATGGGCGACAAGGCTCGGGAGCACATGAGCTGAGGGGCTCTCGCGACTACGCGGCTGTGGCCGAGACGCACGCGAGGGCCACGGCCATTGCTTCATGGACTGCCAAGGCGAGGGGCGGGGGCTTCAAGTTGCTGTCCAACGGGGCGAGACCGAAGTCCAAGCACGCCAGCCGACGACAAGCTGAACTTACGAACGAAGCAGGAGAGCGGCTTCTCGTTCGCAACCACAAGCCTGCACACGTTCTGGAGGCTGCAGCGGCCGCGCCAGGACTTCGTTCAGAGCGCGATTGAGTATGTGATGGATTCCTGCCTTGCCTGCTCACATGAGGGCTTATTCGCCGCCGTTGGCGGTTGTGCACGGCCACTCCTGGAGACGGTTTCGTGCAGAAAAAAACGTTGCACTTCAAGCGGCTAGACAGTTCGCTGGCAACTTCAGATTCCTCGCATTGCAGTCGGAGACTAGAACTTCCCACCGCACGGTTGAACTCGCAGCGGTGTCGTCGAGAAGGTGGGAGGCACTGATGCGCGAGCAGATTTAAAGCTCACGCGCGAGGCGAAAGGTGAAAGCATGTCGCCCCACTTCGATGATGCATTATGCTCGTCTGCTGTTTAGCCGCCCATGAGATGCCTTCGGACCATCGCTGAAGGTTCCTGGACGTCTCATCTGGTGCGATCGCTCGAACCCGCGCCTCAAGGGGGCCAGCTGTCAACGCGCTTCCTGGACCCCCCCGCCCAATTGCCCGCGGCGCCGCGGCTTCAAAAGCAGCCCGTCGACGCGGTCCAAGTCAACAATTCCAAGTTGCAGCGCCGGGTAGCCAGTCAGACGGCCCGACAGCGCAGGCACGACAAGATTCGCGAATGGTCGGCCCCCTGCCGAGATCGATTGAATTTCCCAGGTGGAAAGCGGAGGGCGAGAGTTCTGAGCAGCACTCCGAGGCGCACCCCAGCGAGGTCGAAACTGGCCTAGGCCACCCTGCCGATGATGGCGCTCGGGACTGCGAGTCGGAGGAGGGCCCGTGGGCCGACGCTGAAAATTTCAGAGCCGCGCTTGTTGCCTCTCTCTCGAATGTTCTCTCGCCTCGCACAGTCAACATTCAGAATGCAATTCAAGCCAGCGTGGACCGCCCCAGCCGTTGCACCGACTCGCAGTCGCAGGCACCATCGGGGCAAGATATGTCAGCGTCTTTGTCTGGCACCGAGCCCGAAGATGTTGCGCCTCCGCAGGTGGCGTTTGTGTTTTCTGCTGAAGTCTGCCAGCAACGAGGAGGTGCCATCAGTTTCGTCCCGTCTGAGGGCCATCCGCCTGCGCTTGCTGTCGCTACCTCTGTAGCCTTCCATCTTGGCTCAAAGTATGCGGGCGCAGCATGCAGCCTCCACGCCGGCTGGGTCAAGGGCGTTGAAGCGATGTTTGCAGCACGCCGTTTGCAGGCTCCGCTGGGGAGGCCACGCTCTGACAGGCCAATGTTCATTCTGACGCGGAGCTGGAATCTACAGCGGCTTGCATCCGTGCGTTACGCGATTGCCGCAGCGGCTGGTGGACTCGCGCGCGCACGGCGGTCGCAGCCTGCAGCAAGCACCGCAGCCGACAGAACGGCCCGAAGCAAGTCGGCGCATTGTTATCGGCAGGGGCCAGCTAGCCAGCGACCCCCCTGAGCAAGGCATCAGGTTCGACGGCCAGGTGACGACATGACTTGGCGGGCCTGGCTTGTGTTCGTTACATTCATGCACATGTGCACTCAGGCGGAGCTGGACGCGGCCACGACCCTCAGCGACCGATTGGCGCGCAGGAGTCAAGCGAGAGCAGTTGGTCAACCCATGCGTGAATTCCAGGAATGGACGGAGTCTCAGGCTGCAGCGCCGACACTTCATCTCGCAACGCGAGAGGTCCCCACCGCTTCCGGAGTTATGATCGCCGACGGCACCGCGGCCCAGCATCCTAGAGATATGTTGGATATGAAGCGTAAGCATTGGGAACGGATATGGAGCCCCCCCGGTCGGGATTCGGGCGGACTGGATCAGTTGTTCAAAGAGGCTCGCCAGCGCATGCCAGACTGCGAGCAGCAGGTCATCGCACGGAAGCAACAGCTGCCATGGCAACAAATCGTCTCATAGCTTTGGATCTGGATCAGCTCCCCCATGCAACGCTGAACGAGCTCGCTGCCATCCCCACTGTCTGCGAGGTGCTGCAACGTTGGCCTTATCAGCTCCTGTTGACGATCGGCACGCTGGCGCCCAAGAAGCAGGCTGGCGATCGGGCGATATGCCTGCTACCCCACGCAGCCAGGCCACGGTCCCAGGCGCGCGAGCCCGTCGCCAAAGCTTGGAATGACAAGTGTGAGGCGCCTTGAGGCGCCGCGACCCGCGGCAGCGCTGCGCTGCAGGAGGCCATCATTCGCGTCGTGGACGAGGAGATGGCTGCCCGACTGGGAGTGGCCCACGGCCACGGGCTGCTGGACATCGAGAAGCTCTACGATACCATCGGCCGGCTGCGCTCGGGGCAGGCGGCTCGCGGGCTGGAGTTTCCAGCGGAGGTGCTGGGTCTAGAGCTCCAGCAGCGCGCGGCGGCGAGATGTCTCAGGCGTTGGGGGGCGAATTCGGGCGATTGCGCCCGACACATTCACTTGCGCAAGGCCCAGGCACTGACAACACAAGTGAATGAGACATATCGTGTGTGGACCGACGACTTGAGGCAGGTTGTCAAAGGTTCGAGGGCAGCAGATCGTCGCATGTTGGTGCAGCGTCTAGTTGCAGCATATCAACAGATGGAGGATCACGGACTCAGTACTTAACCGAAGTCTGCGGCTGCTTGCACTAGGCTGGTCGACCCCAGGGGGGTTGTCAGGCGCGCCCGCGCAAATGGATGTCAATTCCGCCCGGCGGTCCACGCGCCATACCTGGGCGGGGATTTCAGAGGCGACACTCGGCACGCACGCACCTGCAGGACAGCCAGAACCAGCAAGCACATCAAGATACACGCCAAGGTTGCCCGCGACGCCAGGACAGCCAGGCGCCACCGTCTGACAGCGCGGCTGGAGGAGCAGGGCGCATTGACAGCAGGGTCGCATGGCCATCAGCTCCACCGTATCTGTGGCAGGAAGTTGAAGCAGATACGGAGCTGTTTGCGCGATGCAGCAGCCCCAAGGCTCACGGGGCGATGCGTTACAACTCTGTCTAGACTTGGTTGCTCCTGGTCGTGACCCAGGAACGCGCGCGCCGAGGGGATGCATTCAACTTTGGCTGCGAACCTGGTCGCAACCACTTTGCGAGCAGGGATTCAGCTGTCTCGGCAGTCCCTGGCTCACGAGTTGCAGCATACACGTTTACATGTTCGGGGTAGTCTGCGCACGGACCGCAGGAGCTGCAGGAAGGATAGGGGCCTACAGGTCCAGCGCGGTGGGATGTGCCACATACCGAAATCACGGTCCAGCATACGTGACAGATCGACGTCGCCAAATTGGCAGGGGTACCTGAGCTGGGTGCCCCACCCTGTTTCGTTCGCGAATTCGAGCAGACCATCATGAGACGACACTGGAAATTGGCTGCTAGTCATTTTGACGGAGAAGGCATGCTCGACGAAATGTGCAACGTATCGTTGAGGGCGTTGACCAGGCAACTGCGAGAGGGGCCTGACGGAGCACGTCTGGCAGGGCGGCTACTGGCCACGGCGGCTGGGATAGCATGGCCAAGGGCGCGCAGGTCTGCAAGGTCTAAGCGAGTCTCAGGCACCACATGCGCGTTGCAGGAAGAAGCCCGATGCATTTGTTCATCGCGTTTGCGCTTGTGAAGGATACGACGACCATGAGATTCACAGGCGTGCAGCAAAATACGCGCCGCGAGCATTCACTCGGCATGAGTTCGAGGCGTGCGTTTGGCAACGTGGGCTATTGCCCGCCTCATGGGCACCACTGCCAGCACCCCAGGAGCACACCAGTTGGAGCTGCTATGAGCTCGAAGTTTTCGGGCCTGGATCCTTGGGCCACGGAATCGAGGGCAACCCACTCTTCATTTTCGGAGACCCGACTGGCGGGGCCGACAGCAGGAACAGCAGGCCACGTAGGGTTGGAGTCTGGTTGGCGGTCTACACCGAGCTGCAGGAGCCCATGGAGATGTATTGCGCGATCTGGGGGGGGGCTTCCCTGGTAAAGCGCAGTCGGTTCCCAAAGGCGAGTTGTTCGGTCGATTCACGGCCCTCCAGGGTGGCACGGGACATGTTATTTACACAATGGATCACTCAGGAGTTTGGAATGGATGGCATCCTTGTGTTCGGAGAGACCCCAGGGACGAGAACCGGACTTGTGGCACGAGATAGGTATGTTGCTCAAGAAGGCGTCGGGATCTGGTCTGCACGGTTCTTTTCGTGCATTCACATCAGGAGGCAGTGAATATTCTCCGTGGGCATGCCCCGAGGCTGTTGGCTAACGGCAACGCAGCTGCGGGCTGGCTTGCGGGGCAGGCGGCGGAGGAGGCTCGCATTCCAGAGGCTGACCGCCACCGCTTGCTTGAGACGGAGAAGATAGCGCATTGTGCGCGCCTGAGATTGCTCCCCAAATCTCTTGGAGTGCTGCGTGCAGAGAAACAGGTAACTAGACATGACCCGAGGGTTCGCCAACACTTAGTGAGCTCTCCTGCCCCTAGCAAGTGTGAGTTTTTCTCGATTGCACAGGCTGAGTGAGAAGGTTAATTCGCGTCTGCAGTGTAGGGGGTCGGCCTCCCAGGCAAGACTTGTTTGGATTCTCCATGTCTTAACACGCATCCGCTTCCGATCGACGGTGCAATTTTCGACCCCCCCCCAGGGATGTCAGGTGCATATCTGCGTGGGGGGGGGGCGTAGTAGTCACGCACTCAAGTTCCACGCTGGGTTGGGGATTTGGTTCTGCGGAGCCTGTGGGTCATTCGCGTCCCAGCAATTAACGGGGTTGATGGCGAATGAGTGCACCCATCAGGCGACGGGTAATCGTAGAGATCCTTGAAGGAACATCGCCAAAGGCATGTGGCCAAAGGCTTACAGTGAAGCGAGTTGGCCAGCCGAGAGGCTCGATAGCCTATTCAAGTGCAACTGGCATGGTCATAAGATCCTCAACTCCGTAATTCATCATCCTCCTCCTCTTTCTCCTCTTCCTCCTCCTCCTCGTCCTCCCCCTCCTCATCCTCCCCCTCCTCGTCCTCCTTGTCCTCCTCCTCGTCCTTCTCCTCCTCCTCCTCCTCCTCCTCCTCCTCCTCCTCCTCCTCCTCCTCCTCTTCCTCCTCCTCCTACTCCTCCTCCTCCTCCTCTTCTCCTCCTCCTCCTCCTCCTCCTCCTCCTCCCTCCTCCTCCTCATATCATCATCATCATCATCATCATCATCATCATCATCATCATCATCATCATCATCATCATCATCATCATCATCATCCTCATCCTCATCCTCATCCTCATCCTCATCCTCATCCTCTTCCTCCTCCTCGCCCCCGCCCCCCCGTTGTGCAACATCGCCGACGTGCAGTTTTGAACCACATATTCACCTCCTCTCCTCCCGAAAGAAAGGAGGAAGTGGATGCGGAAGAGGATGAGAAGAATAAACAGGATGATCGCGGAGTATGAGGTTATCGAGGGGGCCAGGCCGCCCTATTCGTATTCTGCGTGGTTGTGCGGGTGGGTTCGCGAGTGAAAGTGGGCACCAGCAACAGTAGGGGGATCGAGGAGGAGGACGACGACGACGACTACAATGCCGATGACGCCGCCACCGACCACGACGACGGCGGCAGCGACGCTGGCGTTGGTGCCGACGACGACGACGACGACGACGACGACGACGACGACGACGACGACGACGACGATGACGACGACGACGACGACGACGACGACGACGACGACGACGACGACGACGACGACGGCTGACGGCGCCGGCGGCGGCGGCAGCCTCGGAGCTGGCGGCGTCTGGAGTCGGTCCGGCTCTCCCGCTGTGGCCCGGCCTGCGTCGCGGCCGGTGCGCCGCCAGGCACGCGCCCGCAGTCCCCAACGCGTCCTCGGAGGGCGACGCGCCCTCGGAGGCGGCGGGCGGCTCCCGCCGGCCCCCGCCTGCGCCCGCTGGGAGGCACAGCCAGGCCTCCTCCCGGGGCCGCAGTGACGCCGCTCCGCCCGCGCCCTTCGCCGCCAGCACGTCGCTGGAGCCCGCCGGGGGCACCGCCAGCAGCGCTGCCGCGGCGCCTGGCGACGCAGCCCCGAGTGCCCTGCCAGCCGCGGGCGCCCTGCCGCACTCGGGCGGGCCTGGCGGAGCCCGGCGCGGCGCGCCCGCAGCCTCTGAGCAGGCCGAGGCGCCCGCGGCGAGCGCCGACGAAGACTCCGAGTGCGGCGGCGGGCGCTTCGAGGATCGCCATGAGGGACGCGGGCCCTGAGGGCAGCGGGCCCTGGGGTTTTGGCTGCTCTCGGCCTCCACGGGGCCCAGAAACCAGAGCTGTCCAGGACCCACTCCCCTCGGGACCCGCTTCCTTCATGCCAAGAGGAGGGGGTGGCCTACGAGCCGCTCGGCATGCCCTCGCGGCCGTCCCCGCAGAGGGCGGGTGGCGCCGCGGAGTGCAGGCGGATCTGCCTGGAGGAGGCGTTGTGCGCGTACTTCTCCTTCGAGCGCTCGGGCTCGCCCGCCGACGGCGGGGGGAGCTGCCACCTGCACGACGCGCTCGCCGTCCGGCGGCCCGGCAGGGCCGGGTTCACCGCCGGGCCGCGCCAGACTTGGTGCGAGCTCTCGGACGAGGTGGGCGGCGTGGACAAGCAGGGCCGACCCGCGCGGGCACCGAGGCGCAGGCGGCCCGTCGTGAGGTCGTGCGTGAGCTGGCCTGTTCTTCCGCGTGGTATGTCGCTGTGGTGGCCTGCGTGAGCCACCGCGTAAGGCTGGTGGCCTGCGGGAGCCACCGCGTAAGGCTGGTGGCTTGCGTGCGCCACCGCGGAAGGTCGTCGCGTCGTTGTGCGTGGGCTCCCCCCTTTTCCCTTCCCCGCTCAGGTGAGGAAGCGCTGGGCCGAGGCCTCAGGGAGCCCTGGTTTGGGGGGATCGCGAGCCGCTGGAGGATCCGCCGCGACCCCGGCGGGTCCTTGGTCACCTCGAACCTCGAGGCCTCAAGGGGATCTCGATGTTTGATCCTGCGTCGCGGGCCGCCCTCAGCTGACCTCGACTCGATCTTGGGCCGCGGGCCGCCAGACGATCCGCCGCGGCCTCGCATGATCTTTGATCACGGGGGTGGAGGAGGGAGGGCAGGAGGATGGAGGAAGGGGAGGAGGATAGGGGACAGGGAGGAAGAACTGCGATCACCATAAGCTAGTTCAGATCGGGGCAGGGGGTACCCGAGGTCAGGGCGAACGCGAGCGCTGGCGGCGCGGGAGGATCCGCGGGCGGGGAGGGGGGGGGATCCCACGCCGAGGGAGAGAACGACGGGAGGGACGGGCGGTGGGATGGAAGGGAGGCAGGAAGAGGAGGAAAAGGATGCGGATGAGGAGGAGGACCAAAATAAACACACGTCCGAGGTTCCTTCCTCATAAGTCACTATAAGCTTTTCTTTTAACGTGTCCAGCACCGTTTGAGCTTGCCGTTCGGGCGAGATCCCCGTTGCATTCTTCTAGCGAATAAGCACTGAATGTGAAGTGGTATGAGAATACAGCTCAGCGAGGTTCCAGTAATACCATTGTTTTGAAAAAGACCGTATCCCATCTGTGCAACCGCTGTACAAACTTACATTTCTGGGCACGAGCGTCGAGAAAGTCTTACGTGAGAGCCCCATTTCGAAAAGGGGCAGCCCTCCATCCGTGCACCTGTTACGTAGATTCAAGCTGCGAGTGTACAACATTGAAGACGTCTCAGGCGAAAGCCCCACTTCGAAAAGCAACCGTCCTCCGCCCGTGTAAATGTTGCAGACATGTTGGACGAACACGCGCGGCGCCAATGCAAGAGCCACATGTTGGAAATGAGATGACCTCCACCATTGAAAGTGCTCCAGGTGTTTAAGGCGAGCGCGCGCGGCGCGGAGGCGATTGCCTGGGTGTGGAAAATCCAGCTGTGTAAGTGTTACAAGCGATTCAAACGAATGAGCGCGGCGCCAGGGCAATGTTTTCATGCTGGCAACGACCTCCCCCCTAACCACAAAAAAGGAACGAGCCAAACCAAGATAGAACAGCAACAACTAAAAACGTCCCCCCCTCCCCCCCTCCCGAAAAAATGTAAAGAAAACAAGTCGTTGTAATAGTTGGATGGTGTGCGCGACGCAAAGGTAAGAGCCTGATTGACAACGATCCTTCGCCCCCACACATGTACTTGATGCAAGCATTTAAGGCGAACGTACGCCGCGCTCAGGCGATAGCCCGATTTCGAAAACGCTCCCATCAACCCTGGCAGTTGTTACAAACTGACAGCCCCAAGACCATAAAGTGTGAGGAAGTCTCCGGCGAAACGCCCAACACGCCCGATCAACACGTCAGGGGGGATACGGGGAGGAGTTATTCATGGAGAAAATAGAGTGGAAAAGGAGACCGCGAAGGAGGATGGGCGGCGGAGGGAGGAGGCGGGTTCGCGGAGGGAGGAGGTGGTGGAAGGCGGGAGCAGGGACGGAAGGAGGGAGGAGAGAGGAGGGAGAGGTGGAGGGAGAGAATGAGAGGGGGCCCCCGACACCGAGGCGCTGACACCTTGGCGAATAGTCAGCGGATGTCCCAGCATATCTTGCCAGGGATTTCGGCGCCGCGTCGCAGACATATCGACGACCAGCTGGCAGGGTCGACGCTGGCAGGTGACAAAAGATAACGACGTGGCCAGCGCCAGCGCGGACGCCCACGGAATCACCACGGGGTGAGTCGCACGAGCTGCACGGGCAGGCCCGCAAGAGGACGGGAGTCTCCGAACGCGTGCGAACCCCGCGCCCCCTCAATCAGGAGGGAAAAAACACACAGACACAATGAATCGTCGATTCCCTTGAAAAAAATTGAAAATATGGGAAGTGCGGGGGAAGACAAAAACCCAGAATTTGTGGCAAAATATGGGGAATATTATTATTTGTGTGTATTTATTTGTGTGTCCCAGGCCCCTCTTACTCAACCCCCACCCCACACCCCGCGACTGTCTTCTCTGCGAGCGCACCACCTCGCGAGCGCACCGCTCCGCCAGCGGTGCGCCCCGCGCGTTCGCCTCGCCCCGCCGCCGAACGTGCGCATCATCTTCCGCACCGGGGCCTCAGCCTCTGCAGGCTGCTCGGCTGTCGACCTGCGCGGCCCAGGCGGGTGACCACGGGGCCCTCCTTGTCCAGAACGCCAGGAGCTCCTCGATGCTGCCCTCCTGCGCAGCGTGGTCATCCAGGCCCGCAGCGAGGAGATGTAAGGGCACGGGCATTGGGGAACCGCTGCGCCTTCTTGCCAAGAAAGCCAGGTCTGCAGACCCCCCCCCCTTTCAGCAGAGAGCGAACAGCGCACGCCGCACATGGACCCTGTCGTGATTTCTCTTATTTGCACCCCCGAATCAATGGGACCCCGCGTGCATTGGGAGGGGCGGGCTTCTGACGGAAGCACGCGGAAAGGGGCAAGCTTCACGAACACGTCTTGCGAGCTTCAGAACGCACCTTCGAACCTCCGCGGCCCGCGGGCAGATCGTCTTCGTTCATCGTGCGAGCGCGGGGCAACGCGCCTTCGAAGTCGCACAAGCTCGTATGAAGTGCGACAATCACATGAAGAAACTTACCACACACGCCACGACCACCTGAAACAGCATACGACGCATGACCATCGCACGCCACGATAATGTCGCCCCCCCCATGCGCGAAAAGTTGCCCAGGCAGAAATGACACCGAAGCGGGCGGTCTCCTGCCGCCCCCATCCGCGAGCTCAGAAGCGCCGGGCGGCCAACCGTTCAGGACGCCATTTCTGCGGAAGCGCTTTTTGCCCGCAAGCACGCCCCTGGGCGGTTGCTGCACAGATGTGCCAGTCACCCATGGAGGCAGTGCTAGAAATAGCACTTCATCCACAGATGGCGTTGCCCCCCGAAGGTTCCAGGGGCCGATGCCCCTAGCGTCCGCCACCCCCGCGTGAATTTCCGCCGTGGGGTGTCCCGCAGGACGGTCCGCGGCGGCGCCGTAGCCCCGCTGCCGTGGCTTCGCGGAGCGGCGACGGGGCGGCGCTGCCCTCGTGGCCCACCCACAGCTGCTACATGAAAGTTCTCTTGCACTGGGAAACGCTCCAAAGACCACCAAATACACACTTGACGACTACGCCCACGGACCATGCAAGGCTATCTGGCAGCCCATACGTAAAAGCCTCCCCAGCCAAGATCGTGTGCTGCCATGGGCCGACGCGCAAAGGATGCAATGGCAGCTTTGTTGGGGTGCTGGCTTATGAGTACCAGTTGCGCGTGCGGAAACAATGGCACTACTACATGGTAAAACGATCATCGCTTTTTATTGCCAGTTGTGAATGGTACGCCGTGGGAAATATGGGTTACAATGGCCAGCGCGTACGGTCGATAGGAATCCCGCACCGTGGCCTCCCGAACTAACACGTTTGCAAAGTGTCGTATAAATATTCGAAGGAACGATACGGCAAATTATGCGCACGTGCAACATGTATGGTCGTTGGGCCGATGCACACTTCGACAAGCACAACAGATTTTCATGGTTCCCACTCTGCTCGGCGTGCGTCTTTCCAACGAGGGGACCGCAGAACTGCGCCAATACCACGGCGCCTGGAGAAGGGAGGGAGGGGGGAAGGAGGAGGTGGAGGGAGAGAGGAGGCGGTGGAGAAAGAACGGAATAAGGAGTGGAGGGAGCGAGCGAGGGAGGGAGGAGAGGAGAAAGACGGGAAAGGAGGAGGAGGGGAAGGACGGAAGACTGATGGCGGAGGACGGAGCAGGAGGAGGAAGAGAAGGAAGAGGAGGAGAAGGAGGATTAGGTCCGCAACCATGATGGGTCAAACTATTTTGGTTCAAGTTCAAACCGTCGCCCCGGCGACTTCAGCTTGATCGCAAACGAGGGGCAAGCCCAAGCAACCTCTCTGTTCACCCCTCGGGCCACTTTCGATAACCCGTCCTGGCCGGCCACTATACCATCTGTTGTTTCTCACCTCATGCCAGGCGCGTGGCAGTGCAGCGAGTGTGGCAAGCAGGTGCCTGACAAGTATTGGTAGTGCTGGCGTGGTCACGAACTGCAGGATCATGTCCTTTTTCCAAAGCCAAACCAGAGCGGAGGCCAAGGCAACCGTCCCGCAGGCAGCCCTCTCGGTCACGACGAGACGGGGGACAGCAACACCAGAGCGCAGCCATGTCGCGCCAAGAAGTTCTGAAGTTCATAAAGACGACCCTTAAAGCGCTCGCGGCTGCAAAGGCCCACCCAAAATACAAGCAGCCGCCAGAATCCCACGATCAGCCCAAGGGACACAAAAGGGGCATCCAGAAAGCAGTTAGGGTACTGGCAACATTCGTGTCGGCAACAAGATCATCTGAGCGGACGACCCAGATTCCATGGAGGAGTTGGCGGTGGCGAAGTTTTCGGTGTCAAACCTGGAAACGCTCGACACGAGAAAATTGCACAACAGCATGTAACAGCAGCAGGAAGTGGCCATCAAGAAATACAGGGTAGCGGACCAGATCGCAGAGCCCGGCGGACTTGGAGACGGCTTTCGAACAGCTCCAGGGGGAGGAGGATGAGGAGGAGGAGGAGGAGAACCCTTGAGCAGCGAAGCAAGGGGCAGATGGCAGCGCAGGTGCCAGCCCAGGACAGCCAGCCAGAATGTCAGGACCAGGGCCGACGTGGTCATGGGGACCCCCTGCCAGTTCTGCACAGCCCCCCCCCCAGCAACAAAGTCAATCCAAGTAGACAGATGATTGGTGGTTGGGCGTGTTTGGCACAGCTTCAGCAGCAGCCGTCAGCAGAGGCACAGCTACACATGATGAGGAAATCCGACCTACTGGCAGCGAAAGGGGTAGGAAAGTGTCAGTCAACCTCACCTCCCCCGCCGCTGATGCCTCCAACGGCACAAATGCCTCCGTTCCGGCAGCCTCCGGTCATGACAGGCGGATGATGCATGGCCACACTACGCCTGCAGCAGCGACGCAGACCCGTCAGCCATCACCACCGGTCAGAAGAGTTGCGGAAGAAGAAGGAGACCCACTCGAGAGTGAGATGACCATACCTAAGGAAGCACAAGCGGCAGCGCTGGAAGCATCCCTGATGGAATTCGCTCAAAAGCAGTTTGGGCAACAGCAGCAGGGACGAGGCGGACCCATGCCGAAATCACCGAGATGTTTTTGTCCCAGTCACAGCTGACGCCGCGCAGCCAGTCTTAACTCAGGAGTGCATGCAGTACCACAAAAAAGGGCAAGCGCCGAATCTCGCAGCTCAGTGGGCGACGGACCT